CTCACAGCAGTCCTCCTGCCTCAGCCTGCTGAGACCTGGGAATACTGCTGGCTGGTGCCACCAGCTGTGCTCTCTGAGCTATTAGCTCTTTGTAGAGTGTGCACCAGTATATTTAGCTTATAGTAGCTGAACCAAGCCTTCTGCCCCTTCCCAGGTAAGGACTCCAGCCCTTTTCTCAATCTTAGAGAGTCACACCTCCTGAAGACGATTGTCACAACTCTCAAAGGTGTGTGTGTGTGTGTGTGCGTGTGTGTGTGTGTGTGTGCGTGTGTGTGTGTGTGTGTGCGTGTGTGTGTGTGTGTGTGTGTGTGTGTGTGTGTGTGTACACTTGCGTGCTTGTGCATCCCATGCAAATCAGTGCAGTGTCCATAAAGGCCATAATAGGGAGTTACAGGTGGTTGTGAGCCTGCTGACATGTATGCTGGGAACTGAACTTGTGTTCTGTTAAGAGCAGCAGTGTTGTTAACTGCTGAACCATCATCTCTCTAGTCCTAAATATTTTATTTATTCTTCCAAACATTTTACGATATTAAGTCACTTTAAACTTTTGCATATTCACAGCTTTTGTGGAAATTGTTTTAAACCTCAAACCAGCCTGTGTTTTTTTCTTTCCCAGTCAGGTTACCATGGCAGGTAACTTGGGGTATCTGGGAGTCCTATTCAATGTGTTGTCATTGGTCCAGCAGACATGTGTGGGACAGGGTCTCTTCTATCTTCCTGTTCAAAGTCACTGTTGAAGCCTCTGTTGCACATTCTGCATGCACAGTTGCACATGCTTGCAAACACGCATATGCCTGTACTCATTTCTGTCTCCAAGTTTCTCTGTCTCTGCCTCCGCCCTCATTGCTATGCACAGTCTATGCTTTAAGGCCTAAGTGTTCTGTTCTTTTTTTCCCGTCATTTCTTGAGATAGGATCTCATATCCCAGGCTGGCCCCAAATTTACATTGCAGCTGAGGATGGCCTTGAACTTCTGACTGTCCTGCCTCCACCTCTTGAGTATTGAGATTACAAGTATGTATTACTGTGACCAGCTTTAAGTTTTTCTAGGCAGAAACATCTTAGTCATTTTTTTCTTAAGTAATTGAAGTTATTTTAAAATTCTTTTATCTAAAACTCAATAATTTTTTCTAAAGACCCAGGGCACATTGTTCTTTTATGTCTTCAGATTAAAGATACTTCTGTTCTTTGAGTTTTAAGTCCTATCAGACCCCATCCTCAGAAGTTCCAGGGCCAGCTAGCCTGGGTTTCCATGTAACAAATGAGAAAGCCTGTATTAAGATGGAAGATAAGGACTGAAGCCAAGGTTTTCCTCCAACCCTCACACTAAATCACAGATCCCTCAGTCATACATATGAACATACACACATGTACACACGCTCACAAAAATTAAAAAAAAAAGTGGGGGGGCTGAATTGGAAAGATGGCTCAGTAGTTAAGACTATATACTGCTACTCGTGCAGAAGACTTGGGTTTGGTTCCTAGGACCCATGCCAAGTGACTCACAAACACCTGTAACTCCAGCTCCGGGGGATCTGACCCCATCTTCTGGCCTCTGGAGGTCCTGCAAGCATGTGGTACGTATAAACTCATGCAGGCACACACGTGCACATAAATAAATGTTTTTTAAAAATTAGGGGCAGACAAAGATGGCTCTGCTTGATGACCTGAATTGGACCCTCTACATGGTGGAAGGAGAGGACTGTCACTGCAAGCTGTCCTCTGAGCATGTTCTTCCTATGCAGGGCGCGTGCGAGCACACACACACACACACACACACACACACACACACACACACACACACACAAATATTTTACAAAATTTAAAAGCCTAAGTTACCAAATGAAGGAATTAAGTAGATCATCTTGTATAGTTGATTGTGTTGGGGCCTGAGTCACATGTTCCATTATGGAACAGGTTACATGATGCATTTTATAGTCAGAACAGAAGTGACATCATACATCAGTGCATTCAGTGGTTACTCTGGAAGGAACAGCAGATTAGGCTGGTGACTCCAGAGTGGGCATGTCTTCTCCAGATTTTATGTTAGGATTGGTGGAAGGAAGGGATGCCCTAACCTGGATATGTCCTGAGAAGCTTTTATGTCAGGAGAATGTTAGGTAAGAGACAAAGGTTAAGGTCAGTGGCTACTGAGTGGCTGGAGAAATTTTCAGTGTGTACATACAGCATCCCAACTACACTTCCCCATGCTTTTCAGCCAACGTCAAGCTGTCTGCAGGATCTTTGGCATCTACGTGTTAGCTTCAGACAACATAATTTTACTAATGCATACTATTTTGCCGTGTGTGTGTGTGTGTGTGTGTTTGTGTGTG